TTGAAAACTACATAAATAACATGTATTTTTGCAGCAGAAATGTACAAACAAAATTTACAGACTTTATGAAGTAGATTTCAAGTTGAATTTTGTTTATCTTTTTGTGTTCTTTTTAGTCATACCTACTAACTTCTACTACTCTATGTAAAAATAACTACATAAAATACACCACGTGTTTTTGTATTATTATTCGCTTATAGCGAACTCCGGATATAACGAACCAGTTTTAGTTAATTTTTCAAGTTCGTTATATCCGGACTCAACTGTATAATAAAACAGTACAAAATTCCTAAAAATTAAAAGCTCAGTTGGAAACTCCTTTACTGTTAATACATAGATTTGCTGTAGTTTTTTACTGTTTTGTATCGTTTTCTAAAAAGCGGCAAACGAAAAGTAAACTATTTTTGCAGTATCTGAAACCCCAATAAGCTAATGAGTATAAAGGCGCTATTTTCAACTGAACTTTGCAATACAGTAGTTAAATTTTCGCAAAGTTCAAATGCACTTGCTTGATAGGTTGCACTCATAAAACCGCTGGTGAATAAAATCGAAAATGTCCACGACAAAAGTTGAATATAATTGCAATTTTTATATGCCAGGGCGACACAAAGACTTCAGGTAAAAATGACCTTTATTGTGGGCATTGTTCCACCCCTGCTTTTCTGAGGGTTCAGGGTTAACGACACTAGGCTAATCTTGGCTGTGTTGAATCCGCTCCGCCTAAATTACGCATTATCTAAATATTTAAGTTTGGGTGCTATTTTGGTGTCTGGGCCGGGCGCAATTCACCGTGTAAAAAATGCGTGAAAACGTCCCGAAGAATGAGAATCGCTTTATCCGCTTGTATTTTCGGCTATCGAGAACTCTAAATATCTCATAAAGCATTCGATGGAATCAAAACACAAACGGTTTGTTTAGAATGCCGTGACGATCATGAAAAGTGAACTTGAGTTGGTTTGAGAGCTGAAGATTTTTCCGACGTTTCAAGAAGCTTCAGAGAATGGGCAGGATTAATCACTTTTTTGCATACATTTACAGCAAAGTCCACTTTCTTGCAGTCTTCTCGAACGTATGTTGGAGCATGTTTTGCGCCATTGCAGAGACGCATTTTTCTTATTTAAATTCCTTTTATTGGACTTCCGTTCGAGCCGAAAATCTTTCGGGAGATTCGTATTTAGTGTAGTTGGTGATTCAGGAATACGGTGGCCTCGAAAAGTCCAGTGACCTCGGCGCAAGTAGAAACACATTGAGTGGAGCCGGTTCGCGCCTATGCGACTTAGCCAGTCAATTTTACCATGTTGCCAAACACTCTCTCTCTCAAAGCATGCACGACAATACTGCCCTGCTAAGACAGGAAGTTGTATCTGCAAAAAAGAAGTTTTGAGATATTCAGCAATTTGTAAATTATCACATGCCATCTTCGCTTGTTTGCAAAACTGTCCTTTTCTAAGATCTCAATGTGGACTTCACGTTGATAAACTTAAACAAGAAATCTTAAGGTTGTAAATTTTGGGATTCGATAAAAAAATTGACTTTTGTTAGATACGACTTTGTGTTTTAGTATTCTCATACTATTAAGGGATAGACATACTAAGTAGTTCTGCATTATAGTACTCATAGTTTAGCAAATAACATAAAAGCAAACAACACAAACTTTGTAAGAAAAACCTATGTTAACTAGAAATAATACATTATCTAATACTAGTAACTTTCAATATCATTTCCGTCGTTCACTGGCAGATCTTAGCAAAAAGATACTCGATTTGCCGGAACAATGTTTCGTAATTTTTGCAGCAATTTGGCTTTCCTTTCCTTGTCAATTCCTTTAGGGGCCAATCTGATCGCAGGTTTTGGTCGGTCATTTTTATAATGTTTGGCCAAAAGTTGAGTTCAATCAATGGTCCACTAAATTTGGTTTTATTAAAAAGGTTTTTAGAGCCCCTTTTAAATTGAACATCATCAAAATTTGCTAAATAGGGTTTAGGTGTAATTTTGTTCATTTTGAATCTTGCAGAATAGTCAATAAAATCATGAAAATCATTAAGGCTCATTTCAATCCTCTCTACCCTTGAACTATTTGATTTTTTGACACACATTTTAAAATCCTCGAAATATAATACTTTTCCTGTTTGTTTTAAAACTTTTCCACTTGGAAAGAGTCAGCGGACATGAAAGTGTGGTCAGTTTGTAAATATTTTAATTTTAATAAACTTAGATTTACTTCTAACGAGTTAATAATAAAAACTAAAAAGCAATACAAGGCCCAATTCGTTGTTTTGCGATGCGCAGTTATCTAGCCAAATTGTTATGTCTTTAACATCACGGTGAAACAACAGAAATTTGTAAAAGGTTGATATTAGATCAGATTTACTTCTTCCAGCCACGCCTTCATTTCAAACAAGAGCGACTTTCCCAGAGGAACAAAGCTTTCGTTAAAACAAATGATCCTTGGTGTAAAAATGATTTCTTTAAACATTTCACAGTGATTTCTTCAAATTCACCTTATTATACTTGTGATATAATAACCATCTTTTGGAAGTCTGCAGAAGCAAATAATAATTCAGATCCTGCTTATGTAGATACGTTATTTTTATATTCAGTTCTCGCTTCTATGGCATTTTCATAGCGACTTTTCCATTTTTGGCAATCATCGCAGTCGGAATCAATATTTTCTTTATCATTTTTTAAGTTTTTGGAGTGAAGGTTGAATGTTTCGCATTGCCAGCACTACTCATTCATCTCAGATACTTGTTGGCGGTAAAGTTCGTATGAAAGTTTCATTTCGGGGTACTTTTGTAGAAAATCTGCATGCATTAATTTAATGTTAATATCACTGGGCACATATTTTCGATTTGGGGCGTGTTTCCTTCTATAATG